CTGCACCAGTGCAGAGACCCATTGGGGACAGAGGCACTGCATTTGCACACCCTGTGTGCCTTCTGCTGCTAGCAGGCACCACTGGAACAGAGGTTCTTGTCTTCCTGTAAGAGAGAAGTCAGACGTGAGGCAGAAGTAGTGAGGTGTAGTGGGGTAGGACATCCGTCAGCACTGGTGGGCCCTGCTCAGGGTGGATCTGAGAGGCAGACAGGGAGTGAGAGCAGCCACTCAGACCACGGAGAGCAAGGTCACAGCTTGATGGAGCATGTGGACCTGACGGGCCAGGCAGCCAGGCTGGCAGCTCAGGAAGGCACCAAGCTCACAGGGAGCACTGGGGCTGCAGCTTAGCTGTGAACAGAGATGCAGATCTTGCTGCCAGGGTTCCTGACAGGGTCCCCTTAGTGTGGGTGCTGTAAGCCAGCAGGCACAGGAACCCTCCTTCCCAGCTCCCGGCTAATGCCATGCCATCTCCCTCCAGCCAAGGAACGTTGTCACCTCTACTGCGAGTCCAAGGAGACCGGGGAGGTGGTGTCCATGAAGCGCATGGTGCACGACGGCACACGCTGCTCCTACAAGGACGCCTTCAGCCTTTGCGTGCGCGGGGACTGCAGGGTGAGTACCCTGCGGTCAGGGTGGGCTGGCCACAGGGAGTTGAGCTCAAGGCCATGACTGGGAGTGTGCATTTGCCTGAGCACCCGGGTGTCCAGCCAGGCTCAACCTGCACCAGGGCAGGGCTGTGTACAGGAGCACAGTGGGAGGCAGTGGGGTTGGCCGGATACAGGGGTAAGGAAGAGCCTGGGCCAGGTTCAGTGTCTGGAGAACCTGGGCCACATTCTCTACCCCCAGCCCTCAAAAAACTGCAAAACTAAGCAGGCACCCTTTTGGGATCCTTTAAATAATACTTTAGAAAAGGTAGGAAGCTGTATTGTGGGATGCCAAGCCCCGGCCTGGCTGAGGGCTGGGGAAACTGGCTGGATGTACGTGGGTCAGGTGAGTCAGATAAAGACAGTGTTGGGCTATATACTTAAGAGGGGTTGCTTTGCATGTGGAAAGTGTGTTCATGAGAAGAATGTTAAGCTGTCTAAACAGCAAAGTGCAGGCCAAGGGACGGACACACACACACACACTCTCTCTCTCTCACTCTCTCTCTCTCTCTCTCTCCCTCTCTCTCTCTCTTTCTCTCACTCACTCACTCAGTGCTGGCCCTCAGTAGGGGGCGCCGTTAGCAGTAGAAGCAGCTGTCCATGGTTCTGAACCTGGGTGTGCTAATTCACCATCTCATGGGCATGACTGCAACCTCACCTCTGATCCGGACAACAGAAGCAGAGGAGGTCAAATGTCCTAATACCCTCTTGGGAACCTAACACGGGTGAACACCAGGTAGCTGTTGGGGGATCATCTAAACCCAATGGCTTTAAACAGGGCCTGTGGCATCTGCAGATTATATTTCTGTGCTGTTCCCCACAAAGATGTACCATGAAAGTCATAATACAGGAAGCAGAATGCATCAGGAAGGCCGTGTGAGAAGGTTACCATGGTCCCCGGCAGGTCACAGAAAGATGGAGAGAAGAGGTGTGCCGACCTGCCCCAGGTGTGGCACACACGGCAGTGGCTTGGTGAAGCAGGCATGAGCGAGGCCGACAGGGTCCATGCTTCGGTGAATTCAGAACGCATCACCGCATGCAGGTTGTAAAACCTCTGTACAGTAGGGAGGGGCTGATGGACAGGACTGTATCACAGACAGAAAAGCCAGACCTCGTTAGCTCCCCACTGCCCCCAACCCTACCCCCAGGGGATAGTCACCCGCTAGCACTGCAACATCTTCCACCCCAGTTATTCTCTGCACCATCAGCCCTTTCAGAATTAAAGGGAAGAGCTGGTAGGCTAGCAGCATCATTTACCCTTCACAGCCTCATCTGCCTGGTGTTCCTGCCTACCTGAGTGAGGCCAGCTGCATGATGCTGGATGTTGAATGGCACCTGCATCATCAGGGGCTTTTCCAAGGATGAGATGTTGTCCCTGGGAACCCTGAGAGGGCTGCATTGCCTGGCAAGAGCAACGCCAGTAACTGCCTTATCTGTTGCCAGACAATATCCCTCCAAACTTCCAGAAAAAGGGATGCCAGGCTGCTGCTGCAGCTTGCCAGCACTGCTGGACGCAGAGCTTGGCTGTTCTCTGTCCCTTGTGACCCACTCTGTGCCTCTCAGCAGGAAACCCCAGAACCACTGTGGCTTCTCATAGCATGCTGTACTTCCCTTCCCTCCTCTTCCCCATCTTCTTGCAGCCTGTCCAGTTGCCTGGTAGGACCCTTGTTAGAAAGAGCTCACAATTCCAGGCATAATTCATAAGCCAGACTCTGTGTGCACACCAGGATGCACCATCTTGACAGCTGCCAAGAATTCTACCCAAACACGAGTTCCCAAGATCTGCAGGGTAATGTCTGGGGCCAGGTCCTAGCCAGCCAGCTACCCTGTGCTTAGAGAGCAACATCAGGTCCATTGCTGTTACAAACAGTGTTTAGGGAGCACACTGTGGGGGTGCACAGACAGGGGTGATGCCTGTGCTCCCAGGCTGGGCCCACCATGCTGCCTCCTTTTGGTAGATGGGTTTTTCTCTAGAACCACCCATGTGAACACAAGCGTGCTCCTTGTACGGAATGCTTTTACCCTGCTCACTTCCAAAAGTGAATGAAAAAGCTGAAAACCAAAGATTGCGAACTTGAGCCCCTACAGAGGAGCTGCTCTTAGCTTTGTCAGGGTCTAGAGCCCCCTGCCCGCCGTGGTCCTGGTAAGACCAGCACCAGAACACACAGTGCCAGGAGGAAGAGTTTCTCCTAATTGGTGCAGGAAGATTGCTAAGGGAGAATTAGCACCGAGCTTCCTGGCAGCCAAGAGGAAGGGGGGAATCTGTGATGCCATCAAGCACTCTGAGGGTGGTCAGTGGGCACAGACTAGCCCCAAAGAGGGATTTTCCTTGTTGAGCCTAGCAGTGGACACTGCTAGGACCATGGAAAATCAAATCACTTCAGTATGCTGTTGCCTCCCCCAGGTGGCCTGGAGCAGAGCATCGCCTTTCCTCTGGACAGAATAATTCTAGTGCAGGTGTGGCGGTGTTGAGTGGACTGGCCAGGGAGTGGACCTTAGGGTAGGAGCCTCTGAAGCCAGGCCTCTGCTGTACAGTGCCAGAGCAAGGGTGTCCCCTGAAGGCCTGCTGTGTCCTAACCCTTGGACCTCTGGGCCTGCAAGGGGGCATCATTCAGGTCACACTCCCGGAAGACGGCTAGCAGGCTTTGTCTTCCTCCTGAAACCAGAGCCTGATTTTCTCCCCCTGATAGTGGGCAAAGGGGTAACTGGTGCCAGGTCACAGGCAGGTGCTAGGGCGAGGAGAGGGTGTGCAGGTTACTCACAGCCTGCTTCCCCTGCAGAAGGTGGGCTGTGATGGGGTGATCGGCTCCAGCAAGCAGGAGGACAAGTGTGGTGTGTGCGGAGGAGACAACACCTGGTGCAAGGTGGTTAAGGGCACGTTCACACGCTCCCCCAAGAGGCACGGTGAGTCCCGCCCCTGGGTCAGTCCTGTCCTGGCAGAGGTTGGGGATTGGGGAGCAGAGGGAGAGGGCCCCAGGTGACAGGGCAGAGAACAGACCTTAGGAAGCTCTACTGGAGTTCTGCCTTGCAGCAGGCTCCTCCCCAGCTGGCTTTCAGCAGCACTTCCCTGGGCTGCTAGGTGACCTGGAAGCATGGAAGGTCTGACTTCTCTGGCGCCTTGGGTGGGGCTAGGTGCTATGGGTCTCTCACCAGGGGAGACAGGCTCTGGGGTGGGTTTCTGTCTTTGTCTCTTGCATTGTTGTCACCACTGTCCAGACTTGGGCACCATGTGAGTGAAGAGGTTTATTTGGATGTGACCTGGGTTCCTACAGGGCCTAGACCACATGAGGTGGAAAGGGTGGCACTGAGTGGTAGAGGGCCCCCAGGCCCTGACCTGACTGACTCCCACCAGGTCCCTGTAGGTCCCACTACTTCCTAACTACCACCACCACCAGCAGCAGCACACAGGGCCCTTCCAGATGTGCTCAAACCACACTCATGCCTGGGGCTGTGCCTCCACCAGGCCTCAGCTCTTTGCACAGGCCAGCAGCTACCAACTGCATCCCTCTGGGCCTCCGTCAGCCCACCTCTGAAATGGGGAGAAGCCACTTTAGTTGACCTCTTTGAGAATAAAGTGATAGAGTGACCACGTGGACCTCATCCTGTACCCGGTGCTGGTCCAGGTCCTAAAGACAGGGGCTGTGGGCTGGCCTTAGTACAGCCCTACCAGAGGTTGGATGTCTGATGACACGTGCAGAGCAAGTGGCTGAGAATTACACAGGTCACGTGGAGTACCCAGAGCCTCCCTCCTAAACATGGCAGCTCTGAATCCCTGCCTGGAGGAATGCAGCCTGGACTCCCCACTGTGTTTCCAGTGGAAGAGGCCAGTGGGGTGTCTGGGTCTGAAGACAAGCAGAGGGGCTGGAGCCACTCTCCCTTTGGCCCCTCTCCTGGTGGGTGGTCAGAGCCCACAGTGGGTGGGTGGGGCTTGCCGACTTCTCACTGGGCCTTGTCCTCCTGCACTTGCACCAAGGCTACATCAAGATGTTTGAGATCCCTGCGGGAGCCAGGCACCTGCTCATCCAGGAGGCAGACGCCACCAGCCACCACCTGGGTGAGTCTCGGGTTCTAGACAGCTCAGCCTGTGGAGGAAGCAAAGTGTGGGGACCAGCTGAGTGGTGCATCGCAGACCCAGGCAGCCCTGCTCACCTGCTGGCCCAGAATTCCTGGAGCCTCTGCCTTCAATGAGGCCAGGATCTGGGACCTGAGTGTCAAGGCACGAAGGCATGGAGAGCTCCTCATGGCACACACAGCAGTCCCAGGGCGCCGAGGCCAGCCTGGGGAGAGCTTCCATGCTCTACTCTGGTTGTCACCCGTTTCCTTTTAAATTCCGAAGATTCTGGCTGACAGCGGGCTTCCTGGCACTATGGACAGCATGGCTGTTTCAACAACGGCTTTAACAACCTCCCCCATGCCAATCCTGCCTGTGAGCTGGTGTACTCCACCTCAGTGGGGCCTCCTCCCTCAACCCCCAACCAAGTGTTAGTCCCTCTCTTATCCCTACTGCCCTGGGCCAGGGTCTTCCAAACTGTGACCTTGAATCAA